TCGAATTCGAATCGTCTTATACGAATTCGAATCGCGAATCGAGCACAAATTATTTGATTCGTTTACAACCCTATTGTGGGTCATGATGAGTTTTCTTAATATTACAATAGTATGCATGAGATTACTATACTTAGAATAATATGATACGTAGTAATGTTAATTCATATATATCTGGTGCATATTATATTTGCATTAATTCTAAAATAAGTTAAAGTATTATCTATTCAACAAATTGTTTTTAGAAAGTAAGAGGTAAATGAAATGTGTAATTTAATGTCAACAAACATTTATACTATTTAACTACTGTATCTGATATTCAATATGTTTTGATATCTTACAAAATCGAGTACTAATTATCTAATAAAAATAATTAAACATTACAAAACTAAGAATTTTTTGGTACCCTAAGTCTTAAACAACGAGTTCTATTGTTTATTTTTTTAAGTTATGTAAATTATTTTAGATTCTACTTCTTTTAAATCTCCAATTAAGCATTGCATTATGTGAGCCTATATATTAATTTTGAAAACTTAAAGTTAAGGGGGGCGAAAACATATATACCTAATTAAAGTATGAAAATTTTATGAAAATATTATATATATAGTAGAAAAATTTGGAAGTCCAAGGGGGGCGGTCGCCCCCCCCGCGCCCCCCTTGGATCCGTCCCTGTCTCTAATTCTATCACCCTAAAATTGGGGTTTAGAGGCCTTATTTATAGAAAATAGGGAAATCCGGGCGAGATTAGGACATTCCGAGGCAGGCACGACATGCCCGACGTCCGTGCCTGCGGAGCATTCTTCCGTCTCGGAGTCGGGCACGACGTGCCTCCCCTGGCACGCACGGCGTGCCCGACTGGCAGAAGCCATCTTCGTTCCCTTCCTTCCAGGCACTACGTGCCCGATGGCACGCCCGACGTGCCCGGCGTATTCCTTCGTCTGGAGCCATCTGCCACGCACGCCGTGCCTACCTGGCAGACACGGCGTGTATGGCCCATTCTTCATTATTTTCTTCGATTCTTGCTCGAAATGCTCCCGTTTGCTCCTGTGATTGATCCTAAAGCTCTTTTATCATCAAATCTTTATCGTGAACCTCCCGGTGACCTCCAAAGCTCTCAAATCTCTCTCAAATGTTGTCCCGATTACTTCCCAAGTGCCAGTGCCAGGCTCAAAATTCCCTAATTTTGACTCTTAAAATACCAAACTCGAACCAACACCAAGTAAAATATGACTTGAGCTAAAAATTAAATGAGATTTATGACACCTTAAAACTAGGAAAACCATCAAAGCTGATCTCAACACGCATCAAATGTGTGTCGAAATACGGACTTATCAACCATTAAATCCAGTTAAATTATAGCAGTTTCTAATTTTAAACCAAGCATCCTTTCCGGTGGTTACGTAATGGATGGCCAAAAAATGAAAAACCTTCGTCTTTATGCTTGTCTATATGACTATATGCATAATATCAGGACGAAAAATGGTCCCGCAAAGCGTGCATGTGAAAGGTGTGCCTAATACATGTGCATTGTGCAGTGATAGTGGATGTATCTGATCGTGAAGTAAGCCTCTTGAGCTACAGCATGAACCCACCAAATCCAGCTGCTCTGATGAAGAAGACTGAGTGGGTAAAAAACTGAGGGCGAGGAGCCGAGGATGGCGGTAGAAAGGCAGTACGAAAGGGGCAAGAGTTGTCCAACGGGTCAAATGAGTAAATGTACCTAAATGATCGGTAATGTTGCATTTTGGTACCTTAACTCTTAAATGAATCAAAATGATACATAAATGTTTCGAATTGAGATTTTATTCAAATTTTCGATAAAAAAATCACATGTGGCGGCCAAAATGAAAGTGGTGATTTTAATTCATTTAAAAGTTAAAGTACCAAAATGCAACATTATCAATAGTTAAGCTGTTAAGGTACCGTTTATGCATTCGACGCGTTGTCCAAAACCCTATTTGAGATGTTTCGAGTTTATATGAGAGAGTGGGTTTGAGAGTAAGATCTGATTTATTGTATACTCTCTCCCTTCGACCCTTAGAACTTTGCCAACGTTTTTTTGGATGTTCCATCAACTTTGTCATTCTCTTTTAAGTAAAAAAAATTGCGATTTCAGTTTATTCTTCCACCTCTGCACAAACCTCGATCAACAATACAATTTTTACTTTTTAATCCCTCTACCGGTAAAAATGCATTTTTAGATGAATTACTTTAAACATGTTTACTTTCAAAACACATTCAATTTATTTTAAAATATACTTTAAACACAATTTTAACAATTTGAAAAGATTCAATCAATCTCGAGATTATCAAATACTCCGTAGACTCTTAATTTTGATCCAATTGTTCTTCCCATTTTCTTTTTTGCAAAAGTCCCCACCCCTCCACCGCTCACACCACACCATACCAACCAACACCTTCCACCTCATTCCCTATAAATTGTCACCACACAAAAAAAAATCTTCGTTCACTCATTGAATGAGAAACACACAACAACACCATTTGGCAGCGCAAAGGCGGTTTGTATTTATAGGATTCCCAGTTTAATTTCATTCGATGTACTTGCCATCTAAGACAGGTTAGTTTTAATGTAATTTATATTAGAATTTTGGTTGAGGTTGAGTTGCATGCACCCTTAGTTTCAGATTCCATGTGGCAGCCATTTATATTTTACTCTTTTGTTCTTGAAAATTATAATTTTTATATAGGCCTATTAAATTTAATTAGAAAAATACGAAGGAAAAATGAAAAATAGTAATGAATTGGTCTGTTTTATTTCATACTCCTTATACATCAGCTAATAGTTTTTTCATTTATAGAGGAAATTCGGTTGTTGATTTCATGAGTAATATTTTGTGTAATAATCAATTCAAATCGTTTTCCTAATGAAATGCATCAATTTTATTGACATTTTTTAAAAAGCATTTGAGTTTCATTTCATTTCATATGTGCCCGGTTTTTACTTATTAAAGTGTAAAGAGTTTTTACCCCTAAATAGGACCAAACTATCAAAATTCCTAAATGGGAGTTAATGTTTAATTATTCCTAAATAAGACTCCTTATTCCGGAATTACCCCTGCTATAATACAACTCCATCTCCTCATCTTACTCCTCGATCGATCAATCCAAGTCTTCTTCACCGCATCAGCATCTTTCTCCAAGTTTTGAGATTCCCTTTCACCCACCACTCCGGCGGACCGGTTCCGGCCAACGATTCTCTTCTTCTACAGGTAATCCACTCATCCCCCTCCTCTTTCTCTTCCTTCTTCTTCTCCTCTTCTCCTTCTCCTTCATGGTCCTCCTCCTCGATCTAATCCTTTTACTCATCTTGCATTTATGATTAATTTCTGTCAGTTCATTCCAATATGTTTTCGATTTTTACTGGAAATTTAATTTTTGGTTTGAAACTTTTGAATTCAAAACAGTTAGGTATGAAATTTCGAACCTCTTGTTCAAAAACATCCAGATCTAAATTTTATTATTGTGTATCTTTATCAGCTTGTAAAAAATGCCACATTTATGGTATTTTTTTATGGACATGAGAACATTGCATCTTTGAAAATGCCAAAGTTTTGACATTTTCACAAATTCTGGCATTTTTATGGCATTGAATTGAACTTCTCTGCAACATTGCTTCTTCATTTTTCTTCTCCTATTTCACATTTTGGACTCTAAAATGGGAAAATGCCATGATTTGTAACTTGAAAAATTCCATGTTTTTGCATGTAGAAATGCCATTTTTTTTGTCATTATTGTTATTACAATTGCAATTTTACCTGAAATTGATAAAATACACTCCATAGGAGGTAGACATGAGTATGTGATTAGGAAAACACTAGAGAAGAATTTAGCTATGGCTCCACTCTCGCACTAGGAAGGTAAGAGCTACGGTGGCGGTCTGCCTTGGTTGCGGCAGTGGTATCGCCTGCCTTCTAGTCCAAATAGCAATCTGACCAAACAGATCAGGAAGAGAACTTAATTTTTCAGGATACTTTGCAACTATCTTGAAATTGTTAGAGCTCCTTCTCAATAATACCCAGTTCAAAATTCACTCCATAAAGCAGGACTACAGAACTTAAAACCTAAACTACAACAAATCCTAGTTACTTCTAAATCAACAATAATACCCTGTTGAAAGAAGCCCCATTGAAGAAAAAACTAATATATACAATGAAGAAAAAATGCCAACATAAATTGAAACTATATAAAAAAGAAAAAATATAGAATAACTTCCCGTCAACAACATAAAACAAAGCAGTCAACAACCTACTGTTTTTTTGTGTGGTGGACCTGTAATATATATATTAAACGACTCATAAATGATCAACCAACAATATCTATCTACTCATCCCAATTACTCCCTATAAAAGTTGGAAATTTAAAGACTAAAGGAGCATTGAATCTGAAGAAACGTATGGCTGCACCTGAAGGGGGGAAGCTGATCTGGGAAGAAGCATTCAACTGGGTAGATTCACCAAAACACAAAGAAATAGCAACACAAGTATCAACTAAGGAAACAACATCCACAACTGAAGCAACAAGAAGTATTCCTAGCCAAAATGATAGTGTCAAAGTCACTATAGAACAAGACGGGACAAAGGTAACATACGAAGGCCAATTATGTGATTAAATTCAGCTTACAAGTAAAAAACTCTTTATATAATAATGTTGTTTTGGTCTACAGACCTTTGATATTACAGTGAGCAAAAACTGCAAGTGCAATGTGTTTGTACTTTGTTGTTGTCTAAATCTAGCAAACTTAGTTAGGTCTAAGTACTTATCCAAAAACAGTGAGCTTCATGTCACATCTAGAATTTACAGGGACCAAAAATATCAGTTATAACCCATGCATTGCATCTGTGCAGTGAGCAAAAGAGGTGTTTGCAACAACTAGTTGTACTATACATTAGTTGTGTCAACAACTCTACAAGTGTATATATATATATATATATATATATATATATATATATATATATATATATATATATATATATATATAGGGGAAAGTTCCAGTGAGAAAGGAGCTTCAGGAGAGAAAAAAGAATGATATTTAACCGTTGATGTCATGGATCTAACGGCCACAAAAAAAGGTGCATCCGGATTTTATTAATATCAATTTCCTCACATGGGCTTTTCATTAAAAGGAAAGTTGCAAATGGTATTGTTCAGTAAGGGCATTGATGTCAAAGTATTGAGAATTAGTTATGGGAGTACCGAGATTCTCTCCCACCCATCTTGTACGTGACATTCATTTTGCATAAAGTGGGATTATAATGAGTACTCCCTCCGTCCCCTTTTAAATGTCCCGTTTTACCATATTGGGATGTCCCTATTTAATTGTCTCATACCTTATTTGGTAAACTTTGTGTGGCTCAAAATCATTCTTACTTTATTCTTACTTTATCAATTAATATCAACCACACAAACTCACTTTTCTTAAAACCCGTGCCACCATCTCCCGTCCCATTTAAAAGGGGACGGAGGGAGTATTATTTATGAACTTTTACATTTCCTTTTCCAAATACATTACTTTTTCAAGATAAAAAAAATACATTACTTTTTCATAATTGAGACTCAAATATTCTTTTTTTATCGTAAGACTCAAATATTCGTAAAAAGCTTATTTACGTTATATTTTGCACTAATCCTATTTTTTCTTAAATTAGATCTGTTTCTAAAAAAATCTATAAATGCATATCAATTCAATAAGTAAATATATGCATTTTTAGTCGCACTATTATGCACCATTGGTTGCTTTAAGTATTTCTTACTATTTCTTTTCACATTCAATATATATTCCCTTATAATACAAACTATTAATAAATTATTTTGAAAAGAATGTTTATGTAAATAGATTCAAGTTCCATTGAGAACACTTCTTCTCGCAAAATGATGCATACTATGGTTCACGGAGATGCACATTTCTTCATGCATATATATAGTTCAAATGTGCACAATTGCGGTCAAAATAATGCACTATTCAAATACACATTTTCTAATTTATGATAGTGCACATTTATGTTTCACATAATTCATAATATCATAATCCAATGCTAAAATCAATCTCATTTCTCTCCTATGATTATGTTTTCATTTGAATCAAATTTTATGCGAATATATGCAACATTTATGTTTAATATATTATTTTCATGATAAACTCCATCATATAGATAAAGTTTGAAAAAGATCGAAATGGAGTTTGTTGTTCAAGTGCATGCACTTTTACACTTCAATTCGTAGAATTTGCACCTTACATCTTAATATTCTGCACTAATTTTAAATTAATGAAAAATTACACATCACTTACTTATAATAGTTAATTAGGTTAAATTTATGGTTCAAAACAATGATAGAGAGTGAAGAATGGTAAAAGTGCAAATAAAATGTTTGAATAATGCTATTTTAAATGAAGCATAGTGCACCATATGCACTTTATACACATCAATAAATTTTCTTTTTCATGAATGGCATGCATTTTTTCTCATAAGTAAATGCACTTTACTTGAATAGTTATGCACCATGAAGGGGCGCTCAGAGTCCATTGCGAATGATCTTTATTTTCGATTTATTAGTGCTTTTTATCACAGTTAATGTCAAACATCTAATGAGTGCATCAAACTATACGATAATTTTATGAATTGAATATAGTGCATTAAAATCATATAATGTGTGCACTGATTTTGAGAGAAATAGTTATAGTGCATAAATATCATTTCACTTACATAGGAGGAACACAAAAATTAAACAGAAGATATATGTAAACATAAAGAAAAACAAAAGCATAAAAATCTTCAAAAATAAAATAGAAGATATATTTAGACACGATGAAATGATTAAGTCTTTTATTTAGAAAGAATGAAACAGGGATGTATTCTGATGTGACTCTGGAGAAATAATGAGAGTGTGAATGAGTCAAATAATGGGATAAAGAATTATTTTGATTGGCTGGGAAAACATAAAATAATTTGATAAAGTAGCTATTACTATCAAGAACGGTAAAGCCATCAAAAAATAATTTGATAAGATACTTGGTTGTGAGAATTTGTAGGAAACGGTTAAGGAAACAATCAGATATCATTAATGTGATGCGAAAATATCATCTTTACCCTTAATGAGAGAGAGCCGATGTATTAAAATAGTTCAAGATCCGATGGCTATAATTCATTCTCATTTCTCTCCTAAGATGGTGTTCTCACATGATCCCTATTCTATATATATATATATATATATATATATATATATATATATATATATATATATATATATATATATATATATATATATATATATATATATATAACACCTTAAGAAAATTTTGCAAAATCGCCTCTTTACCCTAAGCCCAAGGCTTTAGAATTAATCAAGCTTCTCCCGGCCTAAGGCCTTTGTAAAAATAAAAACAATTCTTTCTCCCTCGCCACCATCCCAACCTAGCCCTCCGCATCAGGCGCCGAGGCTGAGGGGCGAGTATATCGCCGGCTACACCATGACACCAAGTGCCTTAGCCATGAGAACATGAGAGCCTCATGCAAGCCGCTCCCTTGAGAACGCACTCCAAATTCCCTCATCTAAAAAAAAAGATGGGGGATCACTACCCCTCGGCCCCGGAAAGTACCAAGTACCTTCGGAAGGCCCCTTGGTATTTGGCACTCCAAGTACCAAATACCATAAGGAGCCATCTGGTAGAAGACCAATATGAGGAGACCAATAGGGATGATCACGTGAGCGAGTCAGACTATGATGGTGGGAATATGATGGATGATACACTTGCTGATGCATTTGAAGACCCACCTATGTTTGAAGATGAAGAAGACGATAATAGTGTCAAGTTGTTTTTCCAAGAATACAGGACAAAGTTTGAAACGGTACAAGTTGTAACTGATGAAGTCATAAATCATTGTGATTTTCATACAGAAACCCCCCAGCCGTTCGATTTATCGTTAGTCTCAACACCTTAGGAGGGCAAGAAGAAGATCAGTCATGACGTTCATGCAGCTACTGAGGTAGGTTTGGGTATTGAAGATGAGTTGAGAAAAGATGATTACATGCTCCAAGAGAGTGAGGGCGAGTTACATGATGTTCATAATGAAGAAGTCCCGCTTCACAAGCAAGAATTCCCTCTTGTACACATGCACCGGTCCACTCTTACATGGTTTCAGATATGGACTTATTTGATTCACTCCTTGATGACGATATTCCTTTTTGTGTGGAGAATGACAACATCATCTGAGAAGTTATTGATAAGAACGATGTTAACGAGAGTTGGGATGCCTTCATGGGGAGTGATACGGAGTCCGGAGGAGAGGTTGTGAATGTTCATGATATTTGTGAGGAAGAAGAAGACTTTTCTATGGTACAGTTTGATTACGGTGTTGCTCCTACTCCTTGCTTGAAGACATGTTTTGAGCTTCCGGTGATGCCTAAAGTAACCAAAGTTTTCACTCATTTTCCCTATCCACCTGAAGAGGATGAGAGTTTCATACTTCACTTCTGCGCTGATGAGGGTTTTGAAGACCATATGCTGCCTACATGGACTGAAGAATTTAAAGATTTGCGACACCTAATGGCATTTGTTGAGAGGAAGCTGGAGACATTGATTATTACTGCACCAATGCAGTCTTTGCTATTTGAGAGCGTATGAGGAAGTTGCGTCGGGCAAACGACGTTAAAAATATCGCTTCTTGGGAGGCAACCCAAGCTTATTTCTGCATTTTTTGTTTGTTTGTTTGCTTGCTTTCAGAAAACCCCCGAAAAAAACCAAAAAAAAAACTCCGGGGTGTTTTTTGGGTTTGTTTTTGTGTTTGTGTTTGTGTGTTTTGTTTTTGCAGCTCAGGGTCTTGCTTTGGGGATGATGTGCTGAGGATCACTTGACTCAGTTTAGTTCTGCACCGACCAGCGCCTTAGGGAAGTTTCTGCAACTCTTATTATCGCCTGTTTTGTAAATGTTGACTTGAATTGAGATTGAGCACGTGTGACCCTTTCCTCTTTACCCCTTGTGCATAGTGCATTTTTGGTCATCGAGGGTGATGCCAAAGTTTAAGTGTGGGGGAGTCAATTGGGCATTCGGGTAGTAGTCGTTACATGTGATTTTTAGAGTTAGCATGCACAAGTGTTAGTTGATATTCATAGGAAATTCATGTCAATTTTTTGAAAATGTTTCTTTAAACTGTGTATTTGTGAGCTGGCTAGCGTTTGACTATGCTTTTAAAACATCTTTGAAGTGTTTAGGCTTAAATTGTTTGCACTATAATCTGGTTGTTGAAAAGATGAATGCATTAGTCACCCATGTAATGAATCAACAATTTTCCCAATGACCTGCATAAGTTCCTTTAGGAGAAGCCACTTTGAGCCTGACCGTTTATTGATAACCGATTAATTGAGCTTCATAGCCAAATGGCCTGTGTTCCTTACCCGTGAATATTTCTGACTTAGTCTTGATGTTTAGGGAACTAGAGGATTAATTTGCTAAGTTTAGGGAATTTGTGTAGGAGCCATTTTTGGCATTGTTCCTATGCCCCAAATGGGGTAAGAGCAGTCACTTTTTAGGAATTTGATACTTTCGAGGATTGCAATGTAGGCATGGATTCACTTTTAAATAAATGAACCTTAATTGCTATTTTTCCTTGGTGAGGCCGAGATTAGAATGGGGTAATGTCTTGTGAGAATCCGAAAGGTGAAAATTAATATAGCTAGACCTCTTACTTTGCGAAAAGGGAATGGGAGCCCCGGTCAAAAAGCGTAAGATGAGACTTGGGTATCTTTCGAAAGAAATGGCGTTCTCGTGCTAACATGACAAGGAAAACTAAACATAATTAATGAACTTGGAGGCTATTATAAAAATTTAGCTTTAGTCCTCCACATACTTCAAGTATACGTCAAAGCACAAATGTGCCGCGGCGGTTTAGCTTAGTTGTACACCATGTCTACTCTTTGCATAGATTTAGATGATTGTTCCTAATTTGTGGCCTACTAAGTTCATTGATCCTAAGAATAGCCCCGAAATTCCCGAATGCATTGAGTCTTTGTTAGAATGTTCCGAACTCTCAAGAAAGGAACTTTTTATTGTTACCATTCACCCTTCACCACCATTTTCACAAGTCCTTCTGATCGGTAGCTAGTTTATTTGTGTGTGCTGTCACTACTTTGATGATGTTGTGAATAATTTTGTCAAATATTTTAGCTAGAGTACAAAGATGTAGTTTAGGGAAGAATTTTCTTGGTTTAGTCTGCCTATTCTGTGAATATCCCTTTAACTACATGTGCATGCTAATTATTTTGATTCCGTGTGGTGATTATCGTAAGTCCCGTTGTTCAGTTTGCTTGAGGACAAACAAAAGCTTAAGTGTGGGGGAATCTGATAAGTCCATATTTAGACATGCATTTGATGCGTGCTGGGATTGGATTTTGATGGTTTTCCTAGATTTAAGTTGTTGCAAGTCTCAATTTTAGCTCAAGTTATGTTTACCAGACGTTGGTTCGAGTTTTGTGTCATTTGGAGTCAAAATCGGGAATTTAGACTTCGGCACCGGCGCTTGAGGAGAAATCGGGATGATTCTAGAAGCATTCGAGATTGATTTAAGAGCTTTGGAGGTTAACGGGAGGTTTACGATGAAGATTTGAATGAAGCTTGAAAACGACGATCAGGATGACCTTCTGTCAATCGTTCAAGCATATCTCTCTTTAGAAATGTCTAATGTACACTATTCAAGTTCCATATGAAAGCTAACTTCAAGGGCTACAAATGATATGAAGACACCTTTGCGAGAATATGAGAAGAAAAAGGTGAAAACAGATGATGAAGTCAGATGATCTCTGCTGCGATTTCTGAAAGACACCTTCCACCGTTCTAATCATATCTCTTGATTGGATGATTCAAATCACATTCAGCAAATTGGGGTGGATAGAGGACTTCATTATCTACAACTTTCATGATGGAATCATTTCCAAATTTGGAAGTTACGTTGGCACGATCGTGCCCTCAAAGTCAGGCACGATCGTGCGTGAAGAGATAGCATCGCGGAGTTACTGCCAGCTAGGCACGATCGTGCATGGAGGGAGGCACGATCGTGTCTGCCTAAAATGCGCGTTTTTTCTCCGGAGGCATGATCGAAGGCACGATCGTGCCTGCCTCCGGAAATCTCAATTCAGCTCAAATTTGACCCGATTGTTCTATTTAAACAGCCTGTAAACTCCCGTTTTGAGGGGGGAGCTTAGAAAGAGTGCCTATCATGAATTTTAGAGGGCTTTTTCAGCCTTGTTCATCAATCCTTTGGGATTCTTTGTAAGTTCCACTTTTTTAATTAATCACAATTAATTCTTTTTATTCCGATTCTATTGATTCTTCAATTATGAATTGTGAGTAGTTTTAATTAGGGATTTGGGATTGATGAATGAGTTGATCATGATGTATGGCTAGATTTTTGATGGGTTAATTGCAATAATGCCATTTAATTTGTGTTTGAATAAATTAATTGATATCTTTTGTAACCTAGATGGCCACTAGAATTAATATTGCTTGTAGAATAAATTAAGAGAGATCTAGTTTATTCTAGGACACATTCACACACACTTAATCGTTCGCTAAGAGATTAGTAGCGATTAAGGGGCCGTAAGCTCGCTCGTCTTGGCAATATTTTAGGATCCTGTCGCTTGGTCCCCTAAATTATTGTACTCTACGCCACGAGAGCGGTAAGAACTTAGTAATGATTAGCTAGGCTCAATTGAATTAATTTCATGTGATTAGGCCTGATCTGCCAGAAATCTTGTTACCCCGGAATCAATCCCTGTTCCCTTCGTCATTAATTAGAAAGAACCCCCTAGTTTAATCGTTTTATTCGCATTTTTATTTTCCAGCAACCAATCTCGCACGACGCATTTTTATTTATTTATTTTAATCACTGAATTTAGTTAATCTTTGATTCCCTTTTGTCCGTCCCTGTGGAGACGATACTCGTATTTTTCACCACTTTTCTACAACCATTTTAAGTGCGAGAAAACACAAATCAATGTTTCTATGCTTTATACATTGGGACAATGTATCTTAAGTGTGGGGGGTGCATCTCAAGGGTAGCTAAACAAATTTTGTGTGCAATTTTTTTTTAGGAAGCTAAAAATTGTGTTATTTCTCTTTTTAATGGGTATTTGGTTGATAAAGTTTTTTTTATTATTCACATAAAATATCATTTTTTTAGATTTATTACACTACCTTTTACTCTTGAAAACCACTTCCAAAAAGAACTCTTGTGACTAGGAACACCATTATCTTTCATCCCCAAAAATGGTTCAAAAATACATCTCAAATATTCAAAAACCATTTTGGAACACAAACCACCCTCATATCTCATCCTTAAAAAAAAAGGGATCATTTAAATGACTTTCAGTAGATGCTTATTGAGAACCAATCCAAATAAGTTTCCTTAAAAAAAAGAGGAACTCATGATCTCTCTGAAAAAAATCGCAACTGCTCCATCTCCACACTGAAAAGTCAATACACCAAAAAGCCATTCTACACTCCCAAATAACCTCAGTCACGATCCACTTATCAATTCTCAAGAGTATAAGTAATTTTTCTAAATCTAATGATATTTTTTGTGTGTCTAGTAGAAAAATGGGTTTTGGATTGAGAACGAAAAAGAGTTTACATTTTTTTTACCTCTCTTAAAAATAAATTTATTTTTGTACATATATTTTTGTTAAACTAACCAAGGCATCCAAAGGTTACAACATTGCTCGAGGACTAGCAACGCTCAAGTGTGGGGGAATTTGATAAGCACAATAATTACTTATGTTTTACATAAGTAATTATATTCATCTGTACAAACATGTGAAGAAAAAACAGGTAAATATTCCCGAGGGAGCGGAAACATGAAATACGGCTTGGAATAACAAAAATCGGGTCAAAAGTCAAAAGGGGTCGAAAACCGGCACTTTTGGATCAATTTCGGGCATCAAAGGAGAAAAAGAAACGAAGTACAAAGTTGGGCGCAGGAACCGGCGCCGGTCATCACACATCCGGCGCCGGTCGTTGGGATTTTTTCCTAATAAACGTCTGTTTCCAACCGGTGCAGAATGACCGGTGCATTTTTGCACCCAACCGGCGCCGGACATGCTGTAATCGTCGCCGGTTGTTCCGATTTTCTGCTAAAACAGTCCAACGTGCAAAAGATTTCTGATGGGAAAACCCCATCTTCCTCCATATCTGATCAAATATTACTTCCATACCCGATTGTTAGGTATTAATAGACTAAAAGATGACATTCTTTAGCCTATATAAAGCCCTTAATTCATCAAGCAATACCATCCCGAAAAAGTATTATACGCGAAAATCAGATCACCGAGTCAAAAGTTATGGCCAAAATAGTGCAGGACATCGAAAAGTTTGAATTTTTAACTTTGAAAAACTTTTCGAAGTTGAGGTTCTCGAGGTTGAGTTTCTCGATGTTGGACCACGAAAACCTGTTCTCGATGTTGAATATCGAAAACCTTTTCTCGATATTGAATGTCAAAAACCATTTCTTGATATTGAATGTCGAAAACTTTTTCTCGATGACTGAATATCAAAAACTTTTTCTCGATGTTGAATGTCGAAAACTTCTTCTCGATGATTGAGTATCAAAAACTTTTTCTCGATGATTGATTATCGAAAATGTCTTCTCGATGTTGAATATCGAAAAATTTCTTTTCGATATTGAATGTCGAGAAACGTGTTTTCGAGGTTCAAACTGCGAGAAACGTGTTTTCGAGGTTCAAACTGCGAGAAACGTGTTTTCAATCTTCAATCCGCGAGAAACCTGTTTTCGAGATCCAATCCACCAGAAACCTGTTTTCGAGATCCAATCCGCGAGAACCTGTTTTCGATCTTCTACCTGCGAGAAACGTGTTTTCGAGGATTAACTTCGAGAAAATCAAGACTTCGAAATCATTAGAATTGCTAACCAGTTTAGAACATCGAATTCTTTGAAATTTCTAAAAGCTCAGAATATCGAAAACTTTAGCTTTGAAAACTTTCAGAACTTCGAAAACTTCTTTAAACTTCGAAAACTGAGAATATCGAAAATCCTTTTAAACTTCGAGAAGCTGAGAATATAAAACTTCTTTTAAACTATCGAGAAGCTAGGAATATCGAAAACTCTTTTTAAGCTTCGAAAAGTTCTGAATAGGGAAAAATATCAACTTTCGAGAAATTTTGAGATTCAAGAAAACCCAAAGTTCGAAATATTCTAAACATCGAGAAACTCCAAAACTTCGAAATCTGCATAACATCGAAAACTTCCAGCTTCGAAAATCTGCAAATGTGAAATCAAAAATTTCTTTAGAAATGATATTGCAGGTTGTTGTCAAACGGATATCGATCCGAATCTTCCAGAAATCGCTGAAAAAACATTGAAAACAGATTAGGCAAACCAAAATATCGAAAACTCTTTTTTTCGAATAGGCAGGGCCTTTCTCGAAAATGGCAGATCCGAAAAACGCAGATGGATTCAATCTATTTCACGCCTCGGCTCTGATACCACATGTTGATCCCTATTTCTAACAATCATACAACCATAAGAATGAAAGAAGAAGCAAATAAATTGAACAGAAATTTGGTACATCGTGTAAACCGGCCGCTGCTCTCCCTCTAGAGAGAGCATGTAATACCCCGAAAATTTAAGTGAAAATTTTGGTTTAAAAATAATTATTGAGGGATCATACAACTTAAACTTTAACATATGACAGAGGTTACAATTTATCTTTATGATTAGTATGTTACCAAGATAATATTTGGACTTAAATAAAAGTTGCATTCTAAAAGATTACTTCAAAATATTAGTTAATAATATGTGAAATTTTATACAGTAAATACTAAATAGCACACACAAACAAATAATAATGTTAACTTTTCTAAGTAATAATACTACTAAGGACTCGTACGCACACATACTTCGTATATGTTCACATCTATAGAAACTTATTATGCCTACACTCAAATACCTCAAACCTAGGGCTGGGGAAAAAAACCGAAATGCCGAAATACCGCATTTACCGTATCGAAAAAAACCAAATTTACCGAAATTTTCGGTATACCGAAGAATTCGGTACGGTATGGTATCATACCGATACATTGCGGTACGGTAACGGTAAGCACTTTGAAAATTTTCGGTATTTCGGTATATACCGAAATACCGTATATATATGATTATACATTTATACTCAATAATTATTTAATGTTCATGTCTCTTGGGCTTTGGGCGGCCCAACCCATCCTTCGTATAAGGAGAAAGCTCTTATTCTAAAGCCTGGGTCTTGGCTGACTAGCAACTCGCTAACCCTACTTTCTCAGCTTTGTTTTTCAAAGAGGTTGAGTCTCCTTCGATGAAGAATAAGGTCATCCATGTTCTCATCTCTCAAGGGTTTTCCAAGAAGCTCAAAGGATAGAGGTGATGAAACTAGCAAATGGCAGAAGGATACCCCAACAACATTAAGGTAACCCCTACTTCTCTCTGAACGTGTTTATCCAGATTACGAATTCTTGTCTTCTCTTTCAATTGTTTCACAGATTTTCTCAATAATCACGAGTTTTCTATGGTATTGGCAGATTTGTAATAAATGAACAAAATAATCAATTGTTGTTACACTTCATCGTTTATTCCGGTCTCTTATCAATCGTTTATTTCTTGCTTTCAATAAGCAATAGAAAGTATGATTTAACTTTTAATATATACTATGTTGGATTGTTCTGAAATAAGAAATTGTAATGGCATATGGTGAAGAATATCTTTACTCTGCCAATTTGTACCGTTTTTATTTTTCAGACTTATCTGTTTTTATAGTTACACTCATTCTAAATAGTTTTTTAATTCATTGAAGTCCTGTGTTGTTTATATGAACTCCTTTAAACGAAAAAAAGGTATTGTTAATAAAATACTTGATACTTTGTTCCATGTGCCAAGCTAGCTGTACCAAATGAAGTGACAAAGTCTTAAGAAAAAGTTAACTCATGAATGAAAAACTGTAAAAGCTAGGTGCTAGCTTGGGGATAGTAACCTTCTTGAATTTTAACATCTGACATTTCCTGTGTGTTTTGAAAGGAGTTTGTTGGATAGTGTTTAACTTTGTTTGCACAAGTTTAAGTAACATTTTCTCACCCTTTCTCTAGGGCTTTTTATGTGTTCTTTTATATAACTAAATATTGAATCAAACTTCTGATTTTCAGGTGGCAGAAACAACTCAAGTATTTCCTATTTCTCAATCATATATTGAGCAAAGAGGACTTTTCTTACTCCACAGAAGGGAAAACTTGCAAAGGCATATATCTAAACTCCAATTTCCTATATGAATGCAGGTCATTTCAATTGTGATGCCTATGTTGATTTAAATTAATTCTGTTATAACATGCTGCAAGTCTGTAACTATATTCCCATATGCCATAATCCTATACAGTTACAACATAAGATTATGATTATATTTTTTGAATTGATTCAAAAGAATTAAGAGAACCATAAATAAGATATTAGAAGTCTTATTTCTCTTATATTGTAAACTTAGATTATAAGGACTCTCTAATACAGATTAAAGTCTACATATCCAAAGATTTCAAAAGCTATATGTAGGGATATATATGAATGTAAAAAAACGGTTGTGATACATCAAACTAAAAAACTAAAGTGATAAACAAAAGTATACTACAGTAATAAACAATATGAATAGAGTATTATTTATCACCATGAAGTTTGTTACTGTGGCTTTACATTATTTAGTTATGTTACATGAAGTTATCATTCTTGCATAATGCTTGACTCTGTTATGTTGAACAATATATAAAATACATGCAGTTGTTTTCCATCTCATAACTAGAGTCATTATTCATTCTCCACGAATTCTTTTTCCACCCATTTTCCTTCTCTTTTCAGAGCTCAAGGAATGATCAAGTGACAACCACCAGTTCATTGAGCATATGGATTTCAAGTTTCAGGCTGCTTCACTGTGTTGCTCTAATGAATTTTAAGCTAGAACCCCTTTTAAATATATATTTGAATTGATTTTTTGTAGGAATTAATGTGCTTTTATCCATGACTTTTTTAATTTCATAAACTTGATTCCTGAATAGAGCTGAATGTCATATTTCGTGTTTATAAATTGGCATTTAGCTAATCAGTAGTTATACATGAGTTCATATTAGTATTTATTCAAGGTTTTTGTTAATAATTTTAGAATTTACATGCGATTCTATTGTAACATGTCATTAGACTTTCGGTATACTGATACCGTGCTTGGATTTCGGTATACCGAATAGTCGGTACGGCATCGGTATTCATTTTTGAGTTACCGAAACTTCGGTATACCGAAATTTCGGTATACCGAAATTACGGTACGGTAACGGTATGCAATTTTGATATACCGGTATTACGGTACGGTATACGGTATGGCGTAAATTTTTCGGTATGCCATACCGAACCACCCCTACAGCCCTACTCAAACCTAATGCATGAGAAAGAATTTCGACGCCAGGTCTGGACGGCTGGACCCTTACTGCGCATATATATACACTTATATACCAGCGATCAATCCATAACCTGTGTAACACACACAAACTACTGCGAGAGAAAAGAAAGTAGAATCGAGAGAGAGGGGATAAGGGAAGGGGAGGATCTGCAGCCGCCGTTCAACACTATGCAGCGGCCGGAGAGGTGCTTCTTCGTGGCGTCATCGCTAGGGAGAGGAGCAGAATGGCAGCCGGTGAACTCGCCGGTCCATTGGGTGTAGGTGGTGGAGAAGAAGAAGAAGAAGACTGCGCGTGGGTACGTGAATCCAAGTAACTGCGCCAGTGGCAGAACCAGAACGAAAATGAAGGGGTGGCTAAAAGTAAGATAAAATGCAAAAATATAAATTGTTATTAAAGTTTACAGAATATAAAATTTATTAGAATAGTACATTACATTATAATTAAATGTTAGAAGAAAGCCGAAATGATGTTTTTCTCTACTACTTTCTTCGTTATCTCGTCTAGAAGGCCCAACGCCTCATGTTACATATTATAAGATAGACATGATCACATGAGTAACCTAACAAGTTAAAAAGGTTTTCAATTTCAAATTCTTAAATACTCCATAGTTATAATCAATTAAAATTTGAAACAACTAAAGCAATGAAACTAATTAATCAAAAAATTGCACAATCAATTTAAACTTTATACGGTTATACTTTTTTTTTTTAATTTTAGCCTATAGTCCAGTGACAGTCGTTACTTTATACGGTTATACCAATTCAAGCAATTAAACAAGAAAAAATTACATATTTATGACTAAAATAACGACTGTTTACAAAAATGTAATTAGTCACTATAGTAGTAATGAAATTATAGTAATTTATGTTCAACTTTTAAACCTGAGTTATTATGACACTACATTATAGTAACTGAATGACCATATTTATGTAAATTATACTCCGTAAGTTTTACTCTAGTAATATTTGTGTAAAAAACTCATTAATAATCAATTACACTTTAGATCAATTAAACCAATTAATCAAATGTAAACCTTAAACCATTTATTCAATCCACTTTTAAAGTAAATAATTAATTAAACTAAAAAAGCAAATAAAGTAATTAATACGGATTACAATTTTAAAATTAATTGCCATAGTTACGGACTTATCCAAACGGCCAAACTATGCAACCGAGTTGGAGTTCCGCTTCGCTTTCTGAGTTGGACTTCGTGACGCAGGGGCAGACAAGAAGGGACTGGCGAGGGTGAGCCTGCGACGGCGATTCCGGAGTCTAACGGCTTGTCGGCGACTGGCGTGGCAAAGGAAGGCTTCTGGACTGGAACGACGAACAGGCACAGCCGCACAAGGAATTACGGAAAGACGGTCAAAGTGTATGTCATAGTTATGGTCACAACGACGTCGTTTTGTTTTCCTTGTGCACTAATCCAAACGACGTCGTTTGGCTCATTTAATTATTAAGAAAAAAACAGGCTGTCTGCCTGTCCGCTCCTTCCTCAAACTCTGGTTCGTAGCATCTCCCACGGGCGTCAGTCTCAACGAAGAAGATGAAGAGGGGCGGCAATCAGTATACCTATTACTAGTACTAAAAAAATTCCGGCGAAGGGGTGGCGCCGGCACCGGCTCGCCCACCCCTGGTTCCGCCCCTGAGCTGCGCTACCACCAGACTATTGGGACACGAAGGAGGATGCAGGTGTGAGCCGCTGCTCTAACTCCTGCTTACCGTGTACGTAGCACCGTCCGAAGGAGGAAGAAGAGTACGTATAGTACTCACCTTTCTTTTGTTCTGAATACTAAACTTCAGACTTCAGTAAATGAATGGAATGGATAATTTTAAATAATTAGGCCAGTTAAATAAAATTTATGGATTTGAGAAACAGATTATTAATCGGGTAACTAAATAAGTTAAAACGGAGGTGGGCTAATTAATCTCAATTGATAAGTCAATTATTAATTCTAGCATTTTAATATCCTAGAAGGTGTACTCTGAGAAGATCAAGGTAGAAGCTTCAGTTAGAATTTACCGCGATTCGAGGTAAGGACTATTGCAACCAAAACTACTATTTTACCCCTGTATGTTTAACTAGGGTTTGTGCAATGATTTGAGTTTCTTTCTGAAATTTTATGAATATTTCGGTTATTATAGTATGGATATGATGATCTATGATTTTATGGGATTTTATGATCGTGTGATTTATGGTGAATTTATCAAATCAGTTGCTTTGACCAAAATTGTGATATTTGGGCCGGGAAGTAGTTAATTTGGATTGGAAAATTGTGGAGAATGTTTTGGTGTGACTTGAGCTATGTTATGAACATCTTTAATACCATATTTTGAGGATATATTCTGGGTTTGGAATACCCTAATTGGTGGTGGTGATAGATGTTATTCTTGGAAAGTGTTGTATTGAATCTTTTTCCAAAAATTGTAATCAATGATTTCTGAATACTTTGAGCACCCGGGAATAATCTGTGGTGTTCGGCTCTACATCCGGTTAAATGTAGAACTGTGGTCTAGGGTAGTGCTACTATTATCTGGTGGATGGTTTCTTTGGTGGTTTTGGATACTTGGATATTGTCATTATTGGCTTCGGTTTTGTGGAAGTAGTAGCACTTAGTCCACTTTTATCTTTTCCTAGGGTAGTCGGTAGAGACTTAGCTAGTCTCGACTACTTGGGCTTCTTACTACTCGGAGGGCTTGGAATCCCTTTTTGGGGGTGTGCACACTTAAGGTAGAAGTTCAGTTTCCAATTGGTGGGTGGTGGGGTCCGGGTTTATCGGTCAGTTCATAGGTGACCTCAGTAGCTTATGCAACCGTCTAGGACACCTGGGGTGATGCGTGGTAGTGGGTGACCACGTATTCGCTTGGTCTGAGTTTTCTTTTTGGGAGCTCCCCCATCCTTAAAAGAATCTAGAAACAATTAGGGGATATGAGTTATGGTGGATGAGCATTAAGTATGATTTTGAAAAGTAGTATTGGGATATGGATTTGTACGAAAATATCTTTCTTACTTAAAGTGATTTTTGGTGGATTGTTATTTAATGAATTTTATGGTGGGTCAGTAATCACCCCGACAAATTTGAGGTTTAAATATATATTTTGGGGAATTGGTATTTTTGGAAGTTACATTTTGGAAGGTTAAAAGCTCCTGGAGAACTATGTTGTTTATAGTTGTATTTTGAAGACTTATATACTTGGGAAGTTTTATCTTTGGAAAGTTATATTTTTGGTATGATATATTCTTGGAAATCTATTGTTGGAAAATTATACTTTTGGCACATGATATTTTTGGAATGTGATTTGTGGAACGTGAAACTTTTGATGGTATTACTTTGGAATGTGGTGTTGGGATAGTGATATTTTCTTCTTGAGATGTGAAATATTTTAAGAAATATGATTTCAATTATAAGTTTGTACTCAAATTATGAATTTGTTATGGAATTATAAATGTTATTTTAATCGTTAAGTATTGTTTTAGATTCGAAAAGAGTATTTTTGAAGTATATGATTTTAAAGATTATATTATGTATGAAAATCTATTTTTGGCAAATTATATTATTTTACGGGGTTGGGTAGGTCTTACTTAGCTAAAAAGCTAATTTTTGTTTCCTTTTCTTTGTTTTGTTTTCTGCACTTTATTTGGTGCAGGTGATGAAGAGTATGCTTGATGATGAGAGTTGCGTTAGATCACGTAGTTTAGTATTCATATGATCTCCTAATTATTGTTTATTTCAGTTTAAGAACATGTAGACATTTAATTGGTTTTCGAGATTTAAATATTTAAATACTTGGATTAGTTTTCGACGTTGGTTTAGCCTGTGCATTCGGTTGAGTGAGAACCGAGTGTGGCGGTAACACCCCACACTACTAGAAAAATGCCTTACAGTGACACCAAATTAGTGTCACTGAAAGTTTCTGTGACACTAAAAAAGTGTCAATGAAAGTGGGGTTTAGTGACACTTTTTAAGTGTCACTACAAGTGTCACAAAATTGTGACACTATGGTATCACCAATTAGTGATACATAGGTGACATAACTATTCGGCGACACTTTTACATCATATATTCTAGTGACACCGCGGTATCACATAATTCTATTTTTCATTCAAACAATACAATACTTTAGTGACACTTTGGTATCACTTTGTTTTGCATTGTTTCCGCATTCGAAACCAATTATAATTTAGAAAATCCATTTCAATTATATTTTAAAATTTTCAATACAGTATTAATTAACTAATCCCATAAACAATAATAAAGTCAATAAATCTCAAAACATAGATTGAACACGTAAAGCATAATATTCATTTCAAACTCCAAGCTACATTGTAGTTGAACTTTGCATTCTCGGTATGCAAAACCAGATTTACTCTGCTGAACAAAACATGACAACAAATCCAACAAGATATGCTGCCATGCAAATACAATTTTCTATTAAACAAAACATGCGAACTTTTACACCCCGCTTCATCAGGCCTTCACATTTCTTGTTATTCGTAGATATCACATTTTCGTTTGCACCCTTGCACAGAATGAAGCCATTGTTCTTATACTATCAACTGCATTGTTTGCAACGTCACTTGCTTCTTCGTACTTCACCTGCAAAGTGTAAACTACATTTTAATGAATAACATATTGGAAAAATAGGAGAAAGCTAGCAGTATTTGTTATTTGTTATGAAGTTG